CGAAATTTTGAACCTTCGTCTCGTTCAGAAAATAAGTATTTCCCTTTTTTAACAGTGAAATAAACAATATTCTGAAAAACTGATTGTGCCATTCGATAGAGCTCATCGAGTTCTATCTGGCACACTTATTTCTAGAGATGGCACAGCTTCAATAAAAAATGTTAGGTCAAAATAGAGAAATCTGCTGCTAACTTCCCTTACGTGTTCTGTGCTATACTTTATATTATCTTTCCGAACTTACATAACACACACATAGTGAGAAAAAGAAAGAACAGGCCACGTGTATGTGCGTTGTGCTCATGGTTACGTTGTTCTCTTCTTTTATCTTTAACGTATTGTATACACAACGTGTATGTTTTCTTTCAATAGTCATTTCTTTTTTTGATATCGCAGTGTTAAGATCACTTTATCGTGTAGTCTATTGCAGCCATCCACTGCTTTTTTTAATTTTTTGTTTGAATATATAAGTTTGAAATATTAAATAATATATAACTAAAATTGTAGTAAGTACACAGCAAATTCAGCAAGATTACGAAGAAATAAAGTGTAGTGTATATACGTCTTACAGTTGCCGCTGTAACTTTTGAAAGGTGTTCTTAATTTAATTTTTCGAAAACTTAGTAACTTAAAAGTGAGCTAAGTTTAAAAAGCTCAGTGCTTGTTCTATAAATGCCTAAATATCTGTTAGGAATGGTTTGAAAGTGTTTCAGTACATTATAGGTAACAAAACACAATTCTATTGGAAAATGACTAGCTATTCTTTTTGACAGAAAACCAGTGAGATGAAAAAATTAGAAAAAAGGTCCTGCTGATGTTTATACCATAAGACTGTTGCTCTACTAGCAGAAATAGCGGTTTCCACTTCTGCTTTTCTTACCGTATGTGGAAAATCCGCGTTAATCGTTGAAATCAATATAGCCCTTCGATGTTTTAATTGTTGGGCCCCGCACCATTCATCCTGACAGCAAGATCGTACCTAAACAAATATAAAAAGTGTTTAAATAAAGAACATTCAATTTTTGCTGTTACACCTTATCATATAGAATGTGGTATGAGAAGAACATCGGCAGTTAATCCAGTGACATATGATTGTTTGTGTGATCATAGCCATTGAGGGTGGGTGGTACCTTACGGTTAAATATCTTCGGAATGAATGATAAATGTAAGCTGTTCGATATAAAATTTCGTTCACATTACCTGCACATTACTATGACAATATTTTTCATGAATCTCGTGGATAAATATGCTATCGGCTCTCTGTAAACAAATGTTTGTGAAATAAATCCGCTTACCATTGATCCTAACTGCTATCGAAATAGGCAAATCGGTGATTCTAGAAGAAATCTGTACGTTGTTTTCACAACCGGATTGGATACAGGATGATGGAAAAGTATTAACAAATGCACATGGTTTTGTTATGCGACTTGCTGAGTGTAATGAAGCTTCTTTAAAGTATAAAAGGGTGTATATCTAATGTTATCGCGAAACAATAATGAAACGCTAAGTTCGAAAAAAATAAAGACCTTTACTTATATTCTCTTGATTTGTATCTATGTTGAATATTCTGATTTTTCCGTGCTCTCTGTAATGAAGGATCGTAGACATTGATATTATGTATTTCTGTTAGTTTCCGGATAAAGTCAGTGGATTTTGACTCAATTTCGCTCTCATACTGAGTAAGATTAGATGTTAATTTACCTTTTTCATCATGCCTGCAGACAGGATGAGATTTCACCTGAAATGTCTGAAATTTTCAAAATGTTTTATACAAAAAATCATCAGAAACAATTCTATTATAAATATATGATTAAATATATCAATACAAATCATATCCTAATATACCAGCAGATCCTACTCTATGTATATGGCTAAGAATCCTCCAAACAATTCACAATTAAAACGGTCTTTTAGGATCTCATGAGATAAAGCGTTCAAAGTTACCCATAAACCCCAGCTTTTCAACGTTAGACCCTAAGTATGAGTTACCGACTTTATACAACAAGCCCATAAAAAACATCGAAAACGTAGACTTTTATCATATTTTAATTTTTTTCAAAAAGTGAACAAGTCAGGCTGGTTTAAGAGGCTCAAGTCATAAGTTAGTGCTAAAAAAGATTCAAGTTATCCTTATCCTTCTACTTTAAAGTTAAAAACTTGGTCTTTTTAGTCAAACAGCTACCCCGCAGCCGGTTCTATTATATTAGAACAGCTTTAACGCAGTTTATAGAACGCTCAATTGTCTACAAAATAAGCTACTTTACATTCAAATGAGACCCCAGAATGAGCTACAATATTAATACCACCAGAATTAGCATCCAGAAACGCTATATAACAATCAAAAAACAAACAAAGTTTTCAAATCAATCCGAATTGCGATAGATCTTTTTTTAATTTAGGAACAAAAGCCGAACACAAATAATGATCCAATTGTTGTAGCCTGTTTTGACGATTCGAAAACTTTGTCCAAAAATATGGTTTTGTGCCCCAGCAATTAAGAATTTATTATAGTGTTTAGTATTGTGTTTGAATCGCGGAAGCAAAACTTCTATAAAGACATAAATCATTGTTTATCAGTAAAGTGGTGGTGCGTAGTTGAGATTTTTGCGACTTTCAGTATTTTTGAGTACATTGAGAAGATGATTAAGGTAAGTTTACATCTTAATCCAAACACAGCACTAGAAACTAGGGAAAATCTTGCGTCTTTCGGCTACTTTCATTTTTCTGGGGTTCAAGGAGGTTTTGAAGCCAAGACAAAGGGATTCTTACTATTGTTGCCCAAAATATTAATGAAGAAATGTCTAGCTGAAGTATATAATTTAATGAGTTTAACTTCGAAAAGAAGAGAAAATAATTGAGTAAATAAATGATTGGTATTTACAAAAAAACAACGATGTTGTATTAAATACATATACATAGACATAGACAACTAACACACAACACACAGTTTAAAACTATTTTTCTCTGTAATTTGTGAACGTTAAAAATTCTATTCGACCATTTTAATTTTTTTCGAATTTTCTGTGGAAAAACTACTGAGATTTTCAGAAAAAAATTAAAATCAAGAAAACTTTCGACACAAATATCATTCGACTCACATCCTGAAATCGAATATGATATTTTTATTGCATGTAAGTTGAGTTTGGATGGAGAAAATTGAGAATTATGTACTCATTATTGAACTTCTTTCATTATGTATAATCTGATCAAGTTCACAGCCGCGTTAAATTTATTGTTCATAATTTATTGAAAATTAATGTAACGTTTCAAAAAATGGCGCTCTGCCGTTGAACAAAACGGTTTCCTCGGTACCTCTCATTGTATATCTAGAGAGTCTGGTACTCTCAAAACCTAGAGTGAAATTTAAGGCAACGAGCATTTGATCCACCACACGGAGGGATTTGGAGTTGAATATACGCATCTTCAACTATTTCGCATGTGCTACGCGTGTTTGTCTTCTTTTTGATAGAAAAGAAGAGATAAAATTTTACTGTTCTTTCTATTATTCACCCTCGCATTTCAGTTTTATTCTCTTGTAACGTTACATTAATTTTCAATAAATTATGAACAGTAAATTTAAAGCTGCTGTGAACTTGATCAGATTTTGCTTCAAAATTGTGCCCATACAAAAAAGACAATTATTTCCATTATGTATATTATTGACTTTGAGGATTTTTATTGACAACAATGTTTGATGACAGTTAACATTTGAAAATTGATCAAATGTATTTTTAAGGCTTTCCGTAGAGCTTGAACATCTCAACCAAATTTTAAGTTTTTGTCGACTATATTCTGTTACAAAAGCATTCGTTCATGAAATGCAACATTCTATTGATGAAGTAAAAGTGAAATATATGGAGCAACAGCTCTTCAGTTAAACTTATTCATTTAAACGATGGTGTTGCCCAGTACGATGAGATAATAATATTCCATGAAAGGGATATTAAATGGAAAGAAAATGAAAGACACATATTATACTTATCTAATGAGGAACCAATACCAACAGGATATGTAGCGATTCGCTGAAGAAACCAAAGCAGTCACCTTTTTCATCATTTTGTCAAGTTTAGCGATAAGCTAGTTTCTCCAATCAACTATCAATATTAGAATATTTTATAAAATGTAATGCTTTTATAATATTTTTAACACATTCTTGATGAAACGCAACTTTCAGTTCATTTACACCACAGTCTTAAGCAACATGTATCGAAATCAACATAAAAATTATTGAAGAGTATATTCGATGTTAACCAACATTCAATTTCCTGTTCCCAGTGTTCTGTTGAGTAAATGCGAATAGACAGATAACTCATATTACTAACATGCGTAACTAATAACGGTAAAATTGTATAGAGTGCGTAGTCCTCTTCAATTTCTATTGCCAAATATTCAAGTTGTAGAAATAATTTAGATAACTTTTCAATTGCAGTCACCTCAAAATCACTATTGATTAGTTCCAATTTTTTTATGTTAATGAATAAGGTGTTTTCGTCGTTTAATGTATTCTTAAAGTAGTCGAAAAACAATTGAAGTGATGTTATATTCGTTGCATATTTGAATACATCCATCAATAGTTCGTAATTATAACATAAATAATTTAAATTTCTTATGTTTTCCCACACAATGATCTTTCCGATGTCAGAAATGAATGGTGTCGAAGCAAACGGTATGGTCATAAGTTCTCCCATATCATCTTCATTTAGCAATACGAGAGTCGAAACATTTGGATATATTCGTTGTGTATTCAAATGCCTCATTGCTGAAAACTTTAAAAATAATATTTCTACTTTATCATAAATCATCGTCAACGACGAAGTGGTTATGTATGTATTTATGAGAGGCGCAATGTCTTCACTTTGGTATGGTATTGAATATAATGCTAATGTTGTTCGGGTATTGGGACAATAATCACAAATGAAATACCAATTTTTATCTAACCAAAAACGTGTTTGAAATTTCTCAATTATATTTGTAATATTGACATGAGATGGAACAGGATCGCCAAATTGAAATAACAAATGAAAGTCGGACAATGAGAGGAAACATGTCGCTATGAGATTCTCCCAACGTTGGCCATCCGTGAAGGACAAATGAGTTACTGAATAAGATATGAACGTATGCAATACTATAGTAGAGATACTTAGATGAAACTATTACCTGAACACGATAAATGTTTAATATTTGGTACTTTTTCACATAATTTTTCGAATTTGTTAAATGATATATGATGACCAAGATATAAATTCATATATTGTAAACTTGATACTGACGATATTGCAGGAATTTCTTTCTTTTCTGTAATAAATGCCTTATAGCAAATTTTGGCTGTTAATTGTTGAATTTGAGGACATCGATCAAGTAAGAATACTAAATCATTAAAGTAGTGAAGACGAATCGTCAATTGCTTTATGTTGCACAGTGGTATTGATGTTGTTGTTGACGGTAATTGATAATGTGATAACTGACAGTTTGTTAAGAATTTAAAATATCTCTCAACAAATATAATTTTACACACTTTTTCATATATTTCATTAGTAATAAATTTCGAATCAATCATTGATAAATGGGACAAGTCCTTCACGAATAGCAAATTAATTAATATTTTATTCATTGTTTCGTTTGATGTCACATTTATCAATGTTAATGACTTCAAACGGATAAAGTTTTTAAGAGAAAATGAGGAAAAAAACGAATCGATTTGACGTGGTGTATCTTTGTTGGATAATCGGATTGAAACTATTTGTGTTGTGATTGTGGGAATAAAGGTATTCCTGTAGCGGTCAAATACGGATTTCCTTATGTTTAAACAATTGATGTACATTGGCATATAGTAAACCATATTCCGTAATCTTGTATTTAAATCGTGAAAAATAGAATAAAGATCGTAGCTACTAATGTATTCAAAAATTTGTATAAATAATTCATTTGACAGTTGTTCGATTATCGATGACATTTTCCTATTAAATAGTAAACAACTTAATGTTTGAACATCGTCTTCTTTTTTCTCAAATCAGTCAGAGAAATAAAGTGGAATCCTGTTGTTATCGCTTTTTAACTGATAGCATACGCCATGGCCGATTATTTATTAAACAGATGGACGGACATCTACTTTTTCAAAATGAACAATCGAACGTATGATTGTTCGACGACTAAAAGTCGACTAATATAGCTCATTTGTAGTGTAAACAACGACACAAAATATTTCTACCATGTTAAACCGTCGTGTTCAGTTTCAACAGTTTGTTCATTTTGAAAAAGTAGATGTCCGTCCGTCTGTTTAATAAACAACCGGCCACGGCGTATGCTATCAGTTGAAAAGCGATATATATTTATATATCTGATCGAAAAAGAAAGTTATGATAAATATTATTCCTGTTATCGGTGTATGTGATCCGTTTCAATATCTGATTATAACTGCTGAACTTGACTGATTTAAATAGTAAGTAATCAGATGAAAGTTCTCAACTTAGTCTTTATTAGCTGGTGGTTCTGTAGTTGCAGAAGTAATTAAACTGTATTAAATTTCTTTGAATATTGCTCAAATATTATCTTGAGAAAGCCTTGTCAGAGACCGGCACGATTGAACTTTTGGTCCAACCGAGCTGGGTCCGAAACCTTTCAAGACCGATCGCACCGGGCATGGACATCAAGCTTTCTTTGTGGGGTCAGACCTGGCCGAAGGCTTCTCTTTCTTTCGGAGGACATATGGTTAGATAGATTAATAAAACCATCACATTTAGTGTAAACACCTTCATGATGAATATTTATGTTTCTTGTTTTAATATGTAGCTGAATAAACTGTATCAAAAACAACCGGTTTGATTAAATATCGTTCATCTTTACCAAAGCATCGAGGAGTCTACTTCATCTTGTGGGTAGGAGAACTTAGCCACAAACATTGAAGTGCCATCATTAAAAATGAATAATAGTTTAATGACTGTGTTTCATTCCGAAGATATTTAACCGTAAGATACCACCCACCCTCAATGGCTATGATCACACAAACAATCATATGTCACTGGATTAACTGCCGATGTTCTTCTCATAGCACATTCTATATGATAAGGTGTAACAGCCAAAAATTGAATGTTCTTTATTTAAACAATTTTTATATTTGTTTAGATATGATCTTGCTGTCAGGGTGAATGGTGTAAGAAATAAAATCTTTTTTGACAAAATCAGTAGCTTGCGGGGTTAATGGAAGTTGCAAACTCGACGCTTTGATACATATTTCGACGGGCACGTCTACCATACGCTTTCGTGTCCGTGTTTTCACTCGACGAATGTTCGAATATTTGTGCCATTTTGTCGAATGGCTAGCAATAAGAACTTTTCTTGTTCTGTGTGTTTATTAATTTTAATTTTATTAGTTATTAAATTTTTAATTGCAAGTTAGAAGAAAAGAATGATCAGAATTGCTGATAAAGTGAGTAAACCCCTCCCGCCTCCAGAACAGAAGGCCACCGCATATCAGAAGGTCACACTAAATAGAAGACTAGTCTGGAGGGAAAATGTGTGAAAAACGCCTTATAGGACAGTTTTTCACCAATAAAAGTGCGATGTACAAAACCATCATAGAACGCCACGGTCTTCTTTTCTAGGAGGGGTTTAGTTTCGTTTTCATATTACTTTTACAACGTTTATTGGGATGTTGCAGAACTCACTGCACATCCGTCAATCTAAATGCAGTCCTATGTGTCGTTCACTAAAAGTAAACAGTTTCGTATATTAAGCAAAAGCGGATGATTAGCTGGCAGAGCTGTTTGAGCCAGTTGTTGTGCTTTTATATAGCATTCTGTTGCTTCATCGTACTGTTCATTCTTGTAATGAGCATTGCCAATATTAACCAATGTTGTAGCCACATTTGGATGATTATAAGGTAATAACGACAGATAAATTTTTTGCGCTCTTTTCAAATAGTCCATGGCTGTCTCATTTTCACTCCGATCCAAATATGCCGTACCCAAACCAAAAAGAGCAGCGGCAACATCCAAATGTGTTTCCGGTAAGCATTTTTCGTATAGTTTCAATGCCCTAGTAAAATAGAAGCATGCTCTTTCATACTCCTTCATTTCACTATGCGTAACACCAATTTCATTCAATATTTTACTCGCACAAACTAAACGGGGGTGGGTCGCTGTCATGTGTAAATCGACTGATTTTTGATAATTGTCTAATGCGCGGCAATGTTCACCTTTTAGACGAAAAGCGTGGCCTATATCATTATATGCATATGCGACTTCTTTTTCATTTGACCAATCGCATAAAACAATCTCAAAATATTTTTGTGCTTTCTCATATTCGCCCATGTCAATCAGTAAATGTCCAAACATGAGAGTAATATTTGAAGCAGATACCTTCTTCTTCTGATATTCAATATATTCTTCGGCAAGCTCCACACTCTGATCGGTTATTGTAGCGTTTATTAGCCACATATTATCAACATTGTCGTGAGTGACACTGCTGATTTTAAATAATACACCTAAATAGACAAAAGTAAATACTTTGTGCGATTTGCAAGCATTTGACTTCATCTTATGGTCTTTTTGCAAGTGAATTGATAAACATAGGAAAAGGAATGTATTGATACGTTGTAGATACGAGTGAGCATTTCGTTTTTCACCACATTGATCACTCATCTTCTTCCACCTTTTCTCTCCAATCGCCTTTTTTCCTCCTTTCTCATCGGCCACTCATAGCTAAACTATGATTAACGAGTATTCCGTTTCTTCTTTAGTTGTTTTCTTTATTGTTTTGTGAAAATTGTTTTTTCCCCACAAGTATAGCCAGTAGTGCAGTTGAATAAACGGGAGGCAAAAGAGAGAAAGCGGCAAAGTGATCGCTTCCATCAATGGGAGAAAAGGAACAATTAGAAAAAGCCGTTGCAAGGAACTCAACAACAGATTATATCATCCCATTTCAAATTATAATGGAATAATTTTCTGTTTCCTTTAAGTACGATGCTTCAAATTCGAAGGGTACGTAAAACAGTAGATTTCCATCAAATATATGTATTGTAGGATAGACCTCGTCCAGCTGATTCCGAATACCGCCTTTTCATCGAGTTTTGATCACGTTTTGGGGAGAAATCTTCAACATACCACAAGATCTGACCGTTTCCGTTCACTCTACTTTTTCGAAACTATTTTATTCGAGTTGAGTATCAAAAAGTGAGTATATTACTAGTTCATCGTTCTGATGTCTGCGAGCAGAACGGACTAAGTTGTCCGGGGACGTTTTGACACACTCTTCTCCCAAACCTATGTAGTCTTTTGTTCCAAGAGCCATTCCCAACTATCATACATCATTCAAATCATTGTCCGACAGTGAGCAAAAGTAGGTATGGATTTAAGAAACTTTCGTTTCTCCTCTGAGAAAAGTAACTATTGGTATAGCAAAGTCAGAATTCTCCCCGTAATTCTCAATTTTCTCTCTCAGAACTCAACTTCTATGTAATAAAACTATCATATTCGGAATTAGGATCAAAAGATGAATCTACTGATGTGTATTTTGAAACTTTTAGTTGATTTCATTTTTGATGAAATCTCGATGATTTTTCAACGTGAAAATTTGAAAAACAAGTTGCTCGAACTGGTTGGAGATACACATCAGTAGCTCGCAGACATCAGAGCGATGAACTAGTAATATACTCACTTTTTGATACTGACCTTGAATAAAATAGTTTCGAAAAACTAGGGTGAACAGAAACGGTCAGACCTTGACTTTTCTCTATAACGCTCACTTTTTCCGATTCTTGTTGTGTGTTGAAGATTTCTCCCCGAAAACGTGATCAAAACTCCACAAAAAGGCGATATTCGGAATCAGCTCGACGAGGTCTATCAACAATATATGTTTGAAGAAAATCGACTGTTTTGCGTATCCTTAGAATTTGGAGCACCGTAGTAGATACATTACATGATCTTAAACTATGATCCATAATTGTTTGACTTACCCAAATCAAATAGAACCTCATCATCAGATTCAAACTCGCTGTATCTGGCAACATTAGCTAATACTATTTTTTCCACAACAGCAATATCAACACTATATTCAAACAGAACAGCTTTAGTATCAGCTCGTTTCGATGATCTTTTAGCAAAGCAAAGGGCTACGTGTCGTGAACAGCTTGTTGATAAATAACCATTTGCTGGTATCAGATCACCAATACTGTTATTCAAATTTTCAATTTCAGCTTCGGTCATTCGTGATCCACGATAAAGTTTAATGGCAGATGTTGATTGTATCTGTCGATTTACCATTAATTCTTTATAGAGTTTCTTCAAGTTCATAGACAAATCAATAATGTAAGGGCGAAACGTATATAATGCTTCAACATCTTGTGTTCTTAGAGCTTTATTAACAACACGGTAGAGAAAGTTGTCTTTTAAATACCATTGTAGGGCTTGTGATTGTTTATAGGACCTTTTAAACAATTGAATATTTTGTAACTCTTTTTTATTATCATGGTAATCTTCACGACATTTTTTAATCATATTCGATATCGACTGGGATGAGATTGGTATATTCATTAGAGTGTATTTGAACATTTGGTAAAACAGAAGCGACACTTTATCTTTTGTCCAATAGCAAATTGCTTCTTGTTCATAAAGACTGAGGGTAATTGATTGTTTACGAATTAAACCCATATTATTTCGAATGTTTGTTACCAATTGTGATCGGTCTGTGTAGAAATCAACAACTTTCGAATAATTACTTTTTAGCGTTAATTCATCACTTTGCTCAAGTTTATTGTTACCGTAGATAAAAATTGAATTAATTTGTCTTAGATTATGAATTTCATTCAGTATATTATCCATACAGTCACCAGATAAAACAAAAAATATTTTCTCATCTTTTGCCGAACGGATATAATCGATACAAGCTGACTGTTCGTTGTGAAATATAACACTATCGTTTATTTCAAAGAGAGCTTTTCTTGTAAGGTTTGAATCTTCGTCAACATCGGGATCGTATAACAGTAACGTTACTTCTTTTTTATTTCCATCTAACTGCGTTTCTTCAGTCGTAGTTTGAGCATGTGGATTCAAGGCATTTAGTGCGCTGAGTGAAGTTATGTGAACGGCATTGTGCTTTCTACGGAAGAGAAGGATATGTGTTATTGGTGAACAAAGTTAAGCAATCGAAAGGTTTCTGAACTGATTATTCAATCATAAAGATGTTTTGATCGCAAGGATCCAGGGATAAAAAAAACGAATGTTTTTTTTCGTTTTTAAAGACCAGAAAACGCGTTAAAAGTTTCAAAACCAACGCTTTTTTTGTCGTTTAAACACGGTATTTTGTCTATTCGTTTCAAAACGCGCTTTTTAATATATATGAGCGACAATGATTTAAACATAAAAGCAGACGGAAGATACAGAGGTTTATATCATCAACTTTTGTCCCACCATTCTTCCACTTTTCGACCATATCCTCTTGGCATTACATTAGCTAACAGCAAACTAATGGAGAGCAGTAAAATGGGTACTTAACGAAAAATTTCAATTCAAGAAACAATCGTTAGAAACGGCACGTAAATCGCCTTAGCAAACGATCGTTAAAGAGCCGTCTAAATGCGTTCTTTGTCGTTCAAAACTTTAGAATAACGTATTCTTCGACAACCCATTTGTTAACGATCGTTGAATTAATGATCGTTCGCTAACGCGTTTAACGATGTTTTCTCGACTGGAAACTCGCCTTAATAGCCACGTACAATAACTTATTCACTAGTAGAGATGGAACATTGTCGTCTTTCGATATCTACTCGAATTAGAAAAACTTCCTTACATTCTCATTTTCTGTGTTAATATCTATGCTTCTTTAACGCAAACGTTTGAAGTGATATAAGTATTATCGGGTAAGTTCTCATATTTAACATAGTCGATGGAGTAAACGTGATGTCTGATTGCTTTATTTGCTATCGTAGACTGGAGCGATCCAAGCTATCAACACAAAACTTTATACGTCAAGAATATGCGCAATTATATGGATTTGTTATATTCTGACTTTCACTTTCTTAACTAAATCCTGTTCAGCTACAACTCCGTGAACCGGATGGAAGACCATAATGGCTACAGTCAGAATGCTAGTTAAATCGGTCACTCAGCGTGCTTGATTCTACAGAAGCGCGGAGAACGGTAAAACGCAAAATTATGTTGCTTCTCTAAGCGATCATGCTTTGCGAATAAGTTATTACTGATATTATCTGCTTAAAATAAGAATATGACCTCATAAAATTTACTTCCTGAGAAAATA